ACCTAAGCACGGCAAATCAATCGATGTTGACTTATAAAGTAAGTTTTCGCTCAGTTCTCAAGTTCCAATGTGTCACTAGAACTTGTAGGTTTTTTTCGTACACTTCTTTACCTCTTTATCTCTTGAGAAAAACATGCCTTTTGATTTTTTTTAGACATTTGGCAATTAGAGATTTTAAAAATGAAATAATCATTGCTCCTAAGAAAACTGAGTGGTAAATAAAAAGAATACCTAAGACGGGAGCTGAACCCGCGTTTCATTCATACCGAGGGCGCGTGCTACAACTACACCGCCCCGCCTACTCACCACTCATTCTTCAATACATCAAGTCATAAGGTTTGGTCGCGTAAACAATATCGCCTTATAAGCCCACTTGAGCTGATAGTCACTGTACTTACATAATTCTAAGATTTCTTACGTTTTTTCCTATTAATTTCTGCTAATCTGCTGATCTTACTGTGATGTAATTACTAATTTTTGCTCAGCACTCGATTCTCTTAGCAGCACTTGAAACATCATAACACTGCGAAAAAGCACGAAAAAATAAGAAATTCTGGAATCATATAAGTGCAATAGCTATCAGTATAACTGGGTTTTTAAAGCGATATTGCTTACACAATCAAACCTATTGATGATCAGTGGCTGACAGCTATGATAGTGGGATGTGGAAGAATTGGTGGAGATAAGCTGTGGCCTCGATGTAGTAGTGCTAGCACGCGCGCTCGCTGTGAATGAAACACAGGATCAACTCCCGTCCGAAGTCGCATTTTTGCTCACCACTTATTTCTCCTAGATACTGATGCTTTTATTGCTGATTTGCGCATAAAAATGAAACTTCCAAGAGTTTCCAATAACTTTTTGCTCAACCTTAGAAGAGTAAACCGTACCAGGAATGACCGCCGTCGTAGTAGATACTAGTCGCTAAGATTTAAAAGTGCCAATGGCTGGTACGCTGTATTGGAGACGTCGCAGCGCGGCAGTCGAGTGCGGCAGTGTGGACGAAATACGGCATTTTGGCAGCGTGCCAGTTCATGCCTATGCGTAGAAGCCACACCTGTGACAGTCGCCCCTTTCCCCAACTCTCTAGTGGCACGGTGGCCCCTTGACCTACACACGACAAACCAATTAATACTATTTTATAAAGTAAGTTTTCGCTCAGTTCTTGAGTTTTAATGTGTCACTAGAACTTGTTGGTTTTTTCGTACACTTCCTTGCCAGGGGTTTTGATTTCTCAAAGTTCTTCTTTAGTTATTCGTGGCCGGTCTATACGGCGGTCCGCCTGATATGCCGGAGTCAACACGGGCCGCAGTGTGAGTTTGGTGTTTATTATGAACAATGCTAGGTGAATTATTGATTGGTGAGATCACTAAAAATCGCTAATTCAAATGTTATTCCGTTGTAAACCGAATCAAGAGACAGTTGTTGTGTTTACTGTCTTCGTCCCATTTTCGATTATATCCTCGTTAAGAATTTTGGAAGGGTCGTTTTTTGTTACCCACAGCCTATTTCGACACCCGAGGAAAAATGCATCTGGTCATTGTCCATTATGAGGCGACCAATGAAAAACTGATCTCATTCGCTGGACAAGAATTTTTCATAGAAGTGTTAGTAATCATTCGAAATCTTAAATCTCTGGCTAAAGCCATACGCGGCCGGCTTTTCAAAACACCCGTTTATAACGCTATAAAATCTAGAATAAAATTATGTTTCACATGACCACGCGTTTTTTCTTATCTCGTTTGTGTTTCGCTGGACAAAACTCTTTCCGTAAAGTGCTAGTACTCATTCGATAGCACAAGTTTCGAGGAACTCAAAAATATGTTGATGTTTGGAAAAGCTATTTGATAGCGCTGTAGGAAAAAAGTTAAGTTTTGTGCTCTCCACCTTGTCGGGCAGAGCTCTTTCTTTGGAGTATTAGTAGTCATTCGATAGAGTAAGTTTCAATGATTCAAAAGCTGTTCTAATTTTTTGGAAACACTGTTAGCAGGGAAAGAGGACTGAGATGTGGTATGCAACTTGTTACTCAATTGAGAATTTTTTTCCGCCTTGAAACGAACTCCAGATAAAGCGATTGACTCAGTCACTACGAAGTTCCTCTAGGCGAAGATAAGCTTTTCGTGCTTTTACAAAATGGCCCATTCTCCCAACCCGATGGACTAGCCGGCAAACAAGTTTGCGAAAGTGCAAAACTCGATCGTATTTTTCAGGCTAAACGATATTTCCAGAAAATGAGTACAGCACTGAAATCATTGATACTTGAGCTACCAAATGATAGTTAATAGTTCAAAGAAAGAGCTCTGTGCGGCGCGATGTAAAGCACAAATTTTTTCTTTCTCTTACAGCGTTATCAAAAATGCTGTTTCAAGATGTAAATACATTTTGAGTTTATACCGAAGAGAACTGAGTGGTGAGCAAAGATACGACTTGAGACGAGGATGGAACCCACATTTTATCCTTACCGGAGACGCGTGCTACCACTACACGACCGAGGTACACTAGCTCCACTACTCATTCTTTAACATCTCCATGTTAGCTTATATCTCATGAAAAGTTATGCGTCAAATGGGACTCGAACCGATGTTTCACCCCATACGAGGGCGCGTGCTCTAACCCGTTGCTGAAGATGAGATGCCTTTCTTTCGACTGTTTATGAAACCTCGCTCGAAAGAAAATAATATGATTACATATTTTGAGCCTTTCATGAGGTCTTCTATGGCACTTATATAGTGCAAGGCACATGTTTTGACCTTAGCCTCGTCAGTTGCACGGTTCCTTTCGTTTCAGCCTCTCCCTTATAGGGAAGACCCCTCACATATAGAGGAATCGACAACGAACAACTCACACTACCGTAAGGTGAAAAGAAGATCATATAGTTGCGAAGTTTTCTTGTCATAGTTCTGACTGAGAATTAAGCCTGTTGAAGCTATATTTATCTTCAATTGAGATGATAGCAGTTGCTATATAGTGAAAATATTGCTCCACGTCATTTTTCAGGACAATAATGTATTATAGGTTGGCACCCGTGCATGGTGGCAGATGTCCTCTAGCATTCACTATACCTGCCATTCCACCGACAGCGGGTGCAATCGGTGCTTGTGGAGGTGGAGGATTCTTCCTATCGAAAACATCCTCTTTCACATTAGCTAGAGTCTGATAGTTTGGATCATATGTTCCTAAACGAGCAAAAATTTTCTCTACAAAAATACGGACAGCGTATTGTTCAGGAAATAAAATGAACTAATCTGCGACTCCTCCTGCAGTAGGAGGCTTTATCGGAGGAGGTGGACCACCATTGTTCAAAACGCTTCCTGAAAAGAGTTTCCGAATGCTTGTGTATTTATATGTCATGGGAAGACGCATATAAAATCAGGTGTGCTAATCCACCTCCAGGACGTGCAGCAGGCGATTGATCTTTTTTTAAAAGTGGAATTATTTATAAATCGTAATAGTAAAGGATACTCATTAACCAACCTTCCCACCACTTAATCAATAAGGAATACAGTGAAGACAAGGCAAGGTATCGAAGTGACCATGGAAGGATTCCACCCCTCGACAATCACAATCGCAATTGAAATAGAAAGTGATTCACACTATGCCATGAAATTGCGGTATTTATCAGTTCCAGCAACTCGCCGTATAACATTAAGGCGCTATTCCAGGTTCCGAAAGTAAAATAGACTGTAGAACAAGCTAGGTGAATTACGACAGTCTTAATTAATTTGATAAAAAGCCTTTATTTGTTACAGTTTTCTTCATAAAAGCCATATAAAAAGCACATGAGTGCAGAGGTCATGCTAATATATGAGACGATGTCTCAATACGACGTCATTGGACTGATCTAGACATCGAGTCAGGAGCACCATTGAATCAAACAGATGTTCTTCTATAAAACCCGCGTAATGAGGGGATTCTTGACCAATATGATTACGAGGATGAACAGTAGGTGCGAAGGGTTGAATTGCTATTTATTCTATTTAATTTTATATTGCGCGTACTTTTATAGCGCGGATACTAGTAATTCTGCCATTTATATTCGTTTACTCACATTCATCGTTTCAAAGATCTTCGAACAATTCTGAAAGATTCTTGAAAATTTTTTGGCATCTTTGTACCATTCCTTAATGATAGTTTACTTACTTACTTCTGCTATACTGATCCGTCTTCACGGTGTGTTTTTCACTGTGCGGATCTCAATACTTCTAGCATTATAATTGTTTTTCCGTCTTCTTCTTGAACTTTGTAGAATACTGGTTAAGCGAGTCTCTTTGCAGTCTTGAGGATGACCTGGCTGTGGCGCTCCACAGGGCGTTGTTGTTGACTGCCAGAAAGAATTAGGGAATGGAGCTCGGCTCCCACGTGCACGACGACTAACATAATAACCACTCGGCCACGGCGCCCCTATTAATGGTTTAGTTTGTACTCGTCTAGTCATTAATTTCTGCTCCAAGAAGTCGAGCGAAGAGTATGATCTGCGCATGTTGTTCCTCCATTATTGGAGAAAAAGCTTAACGATTCTAAAGGCCGTCGACAAGATCAATGAGGGTGAAAGTGCTGGTATGGCGACAAAATCGACTGTGGGCAGATGGTTTAAGCTATTCAAAGAAGGCAATTTTGATCTCGATGACATGGTTATGTCTGGACAATGGTTTTTGATCAAAGTGATTTTCAAGGCACTTTGGATGCTAAGCCTTCATCGAGCAACAGTGATTTAGCTGAAGAGCTTTGTTTTAGAATTTCGACTCAGTGGAGCCGTAATGGTGCTTTGATCAAATCCGGAATCATGCAGAGCGACGGCAGAAAGTCATGTACAATGGTGGTCTATCCTCTGAAGAACAATTGTTGTTGTTAACATAATCTTTAGCAGACAGTCACTATGCATATATAATAAGCTTGATTGGATTTAGAATGCAATATTTGCACACCTCACCAAACCTGTTTTGACGGTTAGTGGCTGACAACTATGATAGTGGGTTGTTGAAGAATCGGTGGGGATAAGTTGTGGTCCCGATAGTGCAGTGGTAGCACGTGCACTCGGTATGAGTGAAACGCGGGTTCGACTCCCGACCGAGCCCGAGTTTTTGCTCATCACTTGTTTCTGTTAGTTATCGATGCTTTTATCGCTGATTTCCGCATAAAAGCGAAAATAACTCTTTGCTCAACCCTAGAAGAGTAAACCGTACCAGGAATGACCGTCGTAGTAGATACGAGTCGATCAGGTTTCAAGGTGCCAGTAGCTGATATGCATCATAGGAGACGTTGCAGCGCGGCGGTCGCATGCGGCAGCCTGACGAGATACGGCATTTTGGCAGCGTGCCAAGTCATGTCCATGCGTAGAAGCCACGCCGGTGATAAATGACACTCTTCCGTGCCGCAGTCAGTTTCCTCTTCGCTGCGGCTGCGGCCGTCCCCTCTTCCCCTCTTCCCCTCTTCCCCGCTCTAATGGCACGATGACCCCTTGACCTAAGCACGGCAAATCAATCGATACTAATTTATAAAGTAAGTTTTCGCTCAGTTCTTAAGTTTCAATGTGTCACTAGGACTTGTTTGTTTTTTCGTACACTTCTTTAACTGTTTATTTTTTGAGAAAAACACGCCTTTTAATTTTTGTAGAGTTTTGAAAGTTAGAGATTTTAAAAATGAAATAATCATTACTCCTAGGAAAACTGAGTGGTAAGTAAAAAGAATACCTAAGGCGGGAGCTGAACTCGCGTTTCATTCATACCGAGGGCGCGTGCAACAACTACACCACAGAGGCCACCGCTTACTCACTACTCATTCTTCAATATCTCACTATTATTGCTATCAGCCACCAACTTTCATAGAGTTTGGTCGCGTAAACAATATCGCCCTATAAGCCCACTTGAGCTGACAGCCACTGTACTTACATAATTCTAAGATTTCTTACGTTTTACCTATTAATTTTTGCTAATTTGCTGATTTTGCTGTGATGTAATTACTAATTTTTGCTCAGCACTCGATTCTCTTAGCAGCACTTGAAACATCATAACACTGAAAAAGCACGAAAAAATAAGAAATTCTGGAATCATATAAGTGCAATAGCTATCAGCATAACTGGGTTTTTTAAGCGATATTGCTTACACAATCAAACCTATTGATGATCAGTGGCTGACAGCTATGATAGTGGGATGTGGAAGAATTGGTGGAGATAAGCTGTGGCCTCGATGGTGTAGTGGCAGCACGCACGCACGCTATGAGTGAAACACAGGTTCAACTCCCGTCCGAGGTCGGATTTCTGCTCATCACTCATTTCTCTTACTTATTGATGCTTTTATTGTTAATTTGCGCATAAAAATGAAACTTCCAAGAATTTCCAGTAACTTTTTGCTCAACCCTAGAAGAGTAAACCGTACCAGGAATGACCGCCGTCGTAGTAGATACTAGTCGCTTAGGTTTTAAAGTGCCAGTGGCTGGTATGCTTTATTGAAGACGTCGCAGCGCGGCAGTCGCGTGCGGCATTGTGGACGAAATACGGCATTTCGGCAGCGTGCCAAGTCATGCCTATGCGTAGAAGCCACACCGATGACAGTCGCCCCCTCCGCAGCGCTCTAATGGCACGGTAGCCCCTTGACCTACGCACGGCAAATTGATCAATACTATTTTATAAAGTAATTTTTCGCTCAGTTCTTAAGTTTTAATGTGTCACTAGGACTTGTTGGTTTTTTCGTACACTTCCTTACCAGGAGTTTTGTTTTCTCAGAGTTCTTCTTTAGTTATTCGCATGGCCGGTCTAGACGACGGTCTCGCCTGATATGCCGGAGTCAACACGGGCCGCAGTGTGAGTTTGGTGTTTAGATTATGAACAATGCTAGGTGCATTATTGATTTGTGCGATCACTAAAAATCGCTAATTCGAATGTTATTCCATTGTAAACCGAGTTCAGAGACAGTTGTTGTGTTTGTTGCCTTGGTCTGATTTTCGATTATATCCTCGTTGAGAATTTTGGGTGGATCGTTTTCCGTTACCCGCAGCCTCCTTTGACACCTAGGGAAAATTGCATCTGGTCATTGTCCATTATTAGGCGACCAACGATAAACTGATCTCATTCGCTGGACAAGAATTTTTCATAGAAATGTTTGTAATCTTTCGATAACTCAAATCTCTGGCTAAAACCATACTTAGCCGGCCTTTCAAAAACACCCCCTTTGTAATACTATAAAATCTAGAATAAAATTATGTTTTACACGACCACGCGTTTTTTCTTTCTTATCTCGCTTATGTTTCACTGGACAAAACTCGTTCCGTAGAGTGCTAGTACTCATTCGATAGCACAAGTTTCGAAAAACTCAACATATGTTGATGTTCGGAAAAGCTATTTGATAGCGCTGTTGGAGAAAGTAAAGTTTTGTGCTTTCCACCTTGTCGGACAAAGCTACATCTTTAGACTATTACTAGTCATTCGATAGCGTAAGTTTCAATGATCCCAAAGCTGTGCTTATTTCTTGGAAACATCGTTAGCAAGGAAAAGAGGATCGAGATGTGGCATGCAACTCGTTACTCAATTGGGAATTTTTTTCCGCTTTGAAACGAACTCCAGATAAAGCGATTGACTCAGACACTACGAAGTTCCTCTAGACGATGATAAGCTTTTCGTGCTTTTAGAGAATTGCATACGTGATAAAAATGAAGGCGAATGACGGGTGTCGAATACAATTTTTATTCTGGATGCAACAGCGTTATGAAACAGTTTTTTGGAAACCGGTGATGTGGAGCTTTAGCCAGTAATCTAAGCTTTCCAATGTTACTAATACTTCTATGAAAAATTCTTTTCCACCGAATGAGATCAGTTTTTTATTTGTCGCCTCATAATGGACAAGTACAGTGCATTTTTTAGTTTTTTTTCTAAGTTAGGAATCACTCAATAGCTTGAATAAAAGGAATCTGAGTGATGTATTTCATTTTCAAGATGGCTTAATAACTGCGTTGTAACAGTAGAAATAAAATTACGTTTCCCATTCAAACGTTTCTCGCTGAACGAAGCTTTTTCTTTGAACTTTTGATAGCCGTTTCACAGCTTAGATTTCCACAATTCCAATTATGCTATTCGTTTTCCAAAGAACTTTTTGCGCTGTAGCTGCCTGATAAAGATTTTTTTTTTGAATTTGATTAATTTCCATCATCTGCACCTTTTTCGATCTCTTGAGAATAACACGCCTTTAGATTTTTCAGAGTTTTGACAATTAGCGATTTTGAAAATAAAATAATCATTACCCCCAAGAAAAATTGAGTGGTAAGCAAAAAGAATACCTGAGCTGGGAATTGAACCCGCATTTCATTCATACCGGGGCCGCGTGCTACAGCTACACCACGGAAGCCACCGCTTACTCACTACTCATTCTTCAATATCTCACTATTATAGCTATCAGCCACCAACTGTCATAGGGCTTGGTCGCGTAAACAATATCGCCCTATAAGCCCACTTAAGCAGACAGCCACTGTACTTACATAATTCAAAGATTTCTTACGTTTTTCCTATTTCTGTTAATTTACAATTTTTGCTGTGATGTAACTGCTAATTTTTGCTCAGCACTCGATTCTCTTAGATGCACTTGAAACATCATAACACTGCGAAAAAGCATAAGAAGTCTTGGAATTATTTAAGTGCAATAGCTATCAGCATAAGTGGCTTTTTAGAGCTGTATTGCTTACCCAACCAAACCTGTTGTTGGGTGGTGGCTGATAGCTATAATAGAAAAATAGTGAAGAATGAGTAGCGAGTTTGCGGTAGCCTCGGTGGTGTAGTGGTAACAGGCGTCCCCGTAATGAATGAGAAACACTGGTTCGAGTCCACCGTGAGGTGTGAATTTTTGCTTACCACTGAGTTCTCTTATTAGTATTTGAAACATTATAAACACCGCGAAAAAGCAGTAAAAACGTAAGATATCTTAAAATAATCATGAGTACTTTTGATTTAAGCTATCGAATGATTACTCAAATTTTGAAAACAATCAAAAAATGATTACGTGATCACATGTTTCGAGCTGTTTGTTATGAGGTGTGATATGGGCACATATAAAGTAATGAACAGGCGCCTGTTTCGTTTTTCCAGACTTCTCTCTAGCACAGTTTCCCTTGATTCAGCCGATACCTTGAGATGTACCGCCATGTAGAGGAATCGCCGCCGAATAGCCGGGCTGAACCGGAGAAAACTGTGCTGGTGTGGAGTCCGGAAGGACGAAACAGGCGCCTGTCTAGCACTTTTTAAGTGCCCATATCAGATTTCATAAGAACCGGCCCAAAACATGTTATCCTATTAGCAGATTATTGTGTTGAGCGAGGTCTATGTAATCGGTCGATCGTTGGGTATGATTCATTCAACCAAAAAGTGCGTTTTTTCAAGAGGTCTAATATGGTACGGGTAACGGAGAAGTCCCGAATCTTGCCAACATATATGTTCTGAACGAAGAAACTGTCAAACCTGTTGGAAATGGGATTATTTTTATTTGACCGCCTTTAGCGATGGTATGATGTTCTAGTATACCCAGTGGTGTAGAGTGTTGTGCAAAACTTTCGTGTTAGGTGGATTATCGGTGTCCGATATCAGTCAGCAATAGTGGGTTCAGTGTCGATACCGACTCCCACCCGAGACCGCTGACGGTTGCTTGCTGACAGATAGATGCGTTGTAGCGTAGAAAGAGCTGTGCCAAAACGGGCGTCGGGAGTGCAATGTTCGAGCACGCGCCCGGATAGGGTGAAATGCGGGTTCGAATCCCAGGTGACACAAAAGCTCTGCATATCACTCTACACCACTTCTTAAAAGCTTATTAGACGTCCCGACAAACTAAAGCGCGATGCAATGTAGACCTTGAACTTGAATAATATTGAGTTGGAAACTAGGTTTTACATACTTTTATTGTTATTTTTATTTATTTGCAACGAATTTATCTCTTCATCTTTTTCATCGTGCTTGATGCCGTTCGAATGCTTGTGATCTTGAGATTCTGAATGTTGAAACCAATTTATTTTTTGTGGCACATATAATGATTACAGGTGCTTTATTATATCGTCAACTTTGACAAAGCGTTTTACTTCCAATGAATGTTGCAAAATTTCGTAAAAATCTAGCTGAAAAACTGGTATCGAGCGTAGAGCGATACAATGACAGTGTGATGCTTTTTGATGAATATAGGTTTTTGTTACTCTTAAAACCGGTTTAATCTTCAGTAAATGGATAATTAGACTTAAGTAAGGCTATTTTTTGGTTGAAACATGATGAATCAATTACAAAACATTGAATTGTTTGTCAAAAATAGTACAGCGTATCGTAATACGATGCCTCTTCATTGATAATTCGGAACATCGTTTTACCATTAGAGACTATAGGAGATGAGATTTACACAGAAGCGTAGAAGAGGCTTTACTATGTGGTTTATAGGTGATAACTTCTTATATCATCTACTTAGATCCCAATTTTAACATTATCCATCGCTGCAACCTTTGTTGCTGATCACGTGCACAGGCTTTGCTTTCTCTACTTATTTTTTTTTTCTTCACAAGTCTCTTCATAGACCAAGCTAAATATCAAAATCGGCCTTTCTTGAGCACAAGCGGCTTCAAACACTTAGACTCAATAAAAAGAAACAAGTGTAAATGAATGTTTTATGATGGTTGGGAATTTGTTCTTAAGGAAATATGTGGTTTTTTGTGAATCATAGGAGGTTTTTTCGACACATGGCATTCTTTCTACTAACAATCTTTATCGTGATGTTCCATCGTTCAGTAATGATAATATCTCCATGAAAGCTAGATTAGCCTGATAACTTCGCACTAATAAATTACTGCATGCGCCGTAGAAAACCCATACACGCGGCGGGAGACGTAGGGAATGATGGCAAACATCCCTTTGCGGGCGGCGCCATTTTCGGCCGGCGGGCGGCTCCGACGGCCACGAAGAGAGCTTGCCGGTGCCTGCTCCAAGGCTAATGTGGTAGTTCTCTAATGAAAGTATCACCTGTATCACCTGTCGTCCCGTTGATCGTCGAGTGACTCGAGCGGGTACCAGCAACTCTTCCATTTTCCCCTATCGCGTGCAAGAGTAGCCCAGTGGGTCCTCCTTGCTCTAGGAATTCGCTGAGCATCATATCTTTCTTCCATCGCTTTCGTGAAGAAATCGGACCAACGGGTCAGTGGTCTTCCTTTAGAGCGCTTGACGTCCCGAGGAATCCAGTCGGTAACGGCTCTCGTCCATCGGTTGTCGTTGAAGCGCATCACGTGTCCGGCCCACCTTAT